GTTTTTTTCTAGTGGTTTTATAGTTCTGGTCTTATGCTTGGTCTTTAGTTTGTTTTGAGTGGATGATTATGTGACTCCTTACTTTGCTTTCTGAGTCCATAGCTTTGATGACACTACCTCTGCACTGTACATAAATTACCTGAAATAGTCTATGTTTCCCCTGAAAGAAATCTTTATCACTCATAACTGCAAAGCTGAGATTTCTGAACACCACACCAAGAGTTTCATCCTGCAAGTGGTTGAATTACAAAGCAAATTGAATGCCCAGTCATGCAGGGATATCTTTCTTCCATGGGAGGCCAGGGTAGCAGCAGAAGCTGGAAAAGGTAAGGAACATCAAATTCTCCTCTAGAGCCCCTAGAGATAGTATGTTCCTAACAAATTTCTGACTCCTTGACTTCAGAACTTCAGGAGAGTACACTTCTATGGCTTAAACTCAGCCTGTTTGTGTTAATTTGTAATGAAACCCTAGGAAGCTAATATATTAGGATTAACACAATATATCTAATAAGCCAATACAAATATTAAGCAATATTAAACAACTTTATCAAAATTCATAGAGTCATGCTAAACACCAATTAAGCAAAACAAAACACATCACAAGTATGATTACTCCAGGAATGCTTGAATAGTTTAATATTGGAAATATAACAATGCTAGACTGAATCATATAAAATTATCCTTTTTGTATGTCATATATCTTTGATATCAACAAGTTTATATGGTCAAACCTAATATAAAAAATGTTTAAAGATGGGAATTGCCAATACATACATAGACTACATTTGTTGATAGTTTCTGTCTTCTCTAACAAGAAAATTTGATCACCAACTATGATCATCATAATTGTGAATAATAGAATATGAATGAATCATAATTAGCCTTGGCACATAAAAAGACAAGACATATACGTAAATTCTAATTTTAAATAAACTACAGTAACAATACATTTTAATATAACATTGTTCCATTTTATAATTGATATATAAAATATTAGAAAAATATATTGTTGATTATAAATTCAGATTTAATTTGGCATCCAGTAGTTTGATTTATTAAATTCGGCCACACCTACTATAGCACTTATTAAGTGTGAGCATAAGTGACGTGAATTTTTGGAGCTTCTTCCAGAGAAAAAAGAAAACTTTTATTAAATGAAAATTAATCTGATCTATTCCTAAAATATTCCTCTATAAACATTCATATTATATTAGTGGTTTCCAGTAGAACACTTTTGTCTAATGCTTACTGATGTCTTATACTAAATACTAAGCTAATAATCTAGATTTTCGACCTTTTGAAAAGATCAACTTTTTGTAGTTCTGAAACTTTGTAAAATGGGATAAACTACATTGAAATAATCCACCTTCTCCACCTACCAAAATCTTGGTGAGGCAAAATTCATTGAGTAAATAATGATGAATGAATTATCAACTGTAGCCTACTCTGTCAAATAATCTTCAAGAAGCTCTCAAAGAACCCTTTCCCAGATTTTTTCTTTAGTGTGTTTGTCAATCAGTTGTTCAATCTGAATAATTATTACCAGAATCCAGTCAGAAACAGCTAAAAGCATAAACAGTTTGACATTATAATATGGAGATAGAAAAACAAACAGCCGGGCTCCGTGGCTCAGCCTGTAATCCCGCGCCTTTGGGAGGCTGAGGTGAGTGG